TATTCATTCAACTATCAACTATAAAAAGCAACATAACTTTCTAAAATCTTCACAAACTAAATACCAAAAAAATGCATGCAATCATGTCAACAATGGAGTCGACGATTAAGTTTTTACAAGACCTAAAATTACTACCAAAAATGTGCAATACCACCGAAAAATGCGATGAAAATAACAATCATGTATGGTATTTTGGAAAATCATCTCGTGCACCTGACGGTAAGCAAACACTATTGGAAACTAAATCCATAAAAACCTGTGTCTTTAGGGTATATCTTTCGTTGTCGTCGATGTCGTGGTACAAAATCAATCAGAGTGGGAACATTTTTCGAACAATCTCATTTACCATTAAGTGCAATATTTGAAATTATGTATTACTGGAGTCGCGAGGAAGATAGTATTAAACAAATAATGCACGAAGCAGAGGTTGGATCAAATACAACGGTGGTAGATTGGAAGAATTTTTGTCGGGATATCTGTGCCGAATATTTTCTACGAAATCCTGCACAAATTGGAGGTTTGTGGAATCATTTATCATAAAAAAGAGGAAAAAACATTTTTCGCATTGCTCTTTTTTATAATAGGACCCGGCCATATTGTAGAAATTGACGAAAGCTGTTTCGGAAAGAGAAAGTATGAAAGGGGTCGGTTATTAAAAGCACAACAATGGGTGTTCGGCGGAATTGTTGACATGATTGCATGCATTTTTTTGGTATTTAGTTTGTCAAGATTTTCCAAAGTTACGTTCCTTTCCATAGCTGATAGTTTAATGAATATAATAGATAGAGATGAAATTGATATTGCATGATCCATGCCAGTGAAACAAATACTTTATATATCAGTCTGTCGGATATGTGACAAATTACAAGAACTTTGTTCTTTTTCTGTTTATTACCCCTGTTCTTCTTAAAATTAGTCCACGTAATTATTGAACAGTAATAATTCAAACATAAGCTATCAATTATGTTTTCGTTTCATCGTATTCCACTGTCATCTATACAAGTCACTTATATTTTTTCGTTCTTTTCTTTTTCTTTCGTTCTGTTCTATTTGTTGGTTGTCTTTTCAACCAATATATTTTCTTTCTGTTCTCCCGGTGTCTAAACTAAACATGTACCGAAAAGCCAATATTAATGTCATCATCAATACCAGAAATAGTTGATGTTGTTATTGTTGGTGCAGGTCCAACTGGATTATTATTAGCTTGTCTTTTGTCTATTTATGGTATTAAATTTCGTATAATTGATAAATCTGTTGATCATACAACTCAATCACGTGCGTTAGTTGTTCATGCTCGTTCCCTAGAAATTTTAGATCAATTAGGAATTGGAAATGAAGCTGTTCGTCGTGGTGAAATCGCTAAAAGTTTTAGTGGATTTTTCCATGGAAAAAAACGATTAGAAGTTAATATAAATATATTAAGAACACGAAATTTAACTAAATATCCATATATACTTATATTGGAACAATCAAAAACTGAAGAATTATTTGAAGATTTTCTTCTTAAACGTAATATTCAAATAGATCGACAATGTGAATTAATTAACTTTAATGAAGTTTGTGATAATAATAATGAGTTAATTGAATGTACAATTAAAGATTATCGTGATAATATTGAAGGAAAATTAATAAAAATTTGTACAAAATATTTATGTGGTTGTGATGGTGCCCATTCAAAAGTTAGACAAAATCTTAAATTATCATTTCCTGGTAATACATATGAAGAAACTCTTTTTGTTATTGATTGTCATGTTAAATTTTTGGATCAGTCAAAAAGTGAAAAAATAATAAATGATGTAGAATTTAATCTAACAAAATCTGGTATATGTCTTTTATTTCCATTGAAAGATCATGAAAATGATAATAGATATCGTGTTATTGGTACTATTCCACATGAACTTTTAAAATCTTCAAAAGAATTAAAATTTGAAGATATTCAATTATGTATTAGTAAACATATCGAAAGAAAAATTGAATTATATAATTCATTATGGATGTCAACTTATCGAACACATCATCGTTATGTTGAATCATTTTCATTTAATAATAAATATTTTTTATTAGGTGATGCAGCACATATTCATTCTCCTGTTGGTGGTCAAGGTATGAATACAGGTCTTCAAGATGCTTTTAATTTAGCTTGGAAATTAGCTTTTACTATACAAGGAAAAACAATAAACAATAATCAATTATTAAAAACTTATAATGATGAAAGAATTCGTGTAGCAAAAGATCTTGTTAATTCAACTGATCGTATATTTACATTTATGACAAGTTCGAATTATATTATTCAATTTTTAAGACTCAATATTTTACCATATATTTATCAATGGATTTTTTCTCCTTTACTTAATTATATTTCATTTCTTCGAGATGCTTTTTTTAAACGTATATCAATGATTGGAATTCAATATCATCACAGTGAACTTTCTATAACAACTGAAGATTTAAAAAAAGATAAAATTCAATCAGGTGATCGAATACCATATGTTTATACTCATTCTGATAATTTATTGTCGTTAGAATCGACAAACAATAATAATAATAATAATAATGATGATGATGATGATGATAGTCGAATTTATTTTCATCTACATGTTTTAATTAATCCAAAAAGAGTTAATTCAAACAAATTATTTCTATTTGTTAAATTTATTCAAGATTATTATTCACATTTGATTAAAATACATGAATTTCAATATTCTGAAGATACAAAAGAAATTTTTCATGCTTTTGGTGTAAATAAGAATTCCGAGGGTGCCGCTTTTCTAATTCGACCTGATCAATATATTGCCTATTGTACAAAAACATTTGATATTCAACATTTTAACACTTATTTTTCAAAATACTTTTCCCAACGCAGGGTCTAATTTCTATGTTTATTTTTGTGTATTTTGTTTTTAATCAACACACTTAATGTGATTGAGATAAATTTATCTCATATTACAATTAGATTTTTTTTTAATTTACATTTAATAAATCGAATATAATTGAAGTATGATCAATGTTCTTCTTTAAAGGTTTTTTTAAATTCTCAGTGATTCTATAGAATTTTTCCAGCTAATTCAGCAATCATCTCCGAATTCAATTTAACTTTCAAGATTTGTAGAGCTTTTTACACTGATCATTTTGGTTATAAAAATTTTTAACTTTAGATTCTATTTTCGAAAAGATATGAACAATATATTATATAGAAATTTTCAAATTTTTTTCAAAAAATGAATTCAATATTTCTTAAATATATCAATTATAGTTTAGCACTTTTCACTTGGATTCTAAAACAAATTACAAATTCGGATTCCTCGTGAAAAAATTCCATCAGATTTCTTATCTATTTGAATTTCATTTTTGAGAGTTATAATATATAAAAAAAGTCAATTTTGAGAATGTAGGTGGATATCATTTGGATTATTCTTTTTCAATTACTTAGATTCATATGAAATAAATGGATATATAACAACTAACTCAATCATATGCGTTAAATCATATGCTATAAATATTTACCTGAACGAAACAATTTCATTTCGAATTAGTACCTCTCGTTTCGCTATATTTATCAGATTTCTTGAATATGTTTATAATATTAATAAAACCAACGTAGAATGTTAAATTTCTAAAGAAACATTGATTACAGTGATTAATTTATATCATTTTCTATTTATACATTTCAAACATTTTTTCCTTGTCGCTTTTCACTGTGTTATTTTTCTGTTAATTGAGATTATAATTATTTCGTATTATTCGACTGACACTTTAATTTAATAGTTGAATAAATTTAATATAAACATTAGTTGTATCTTCTTCAGATTCTAACAATTTTGTATGCCTATTGATTTACAGAGTAATACATAAAATAAATATTTTTAAAAACTAGAAAGAAATGTATTCACGCTTTTATGTAATTTATACTTTAATTATGAAAAATCACAAAAGATAATCTTTCTCAAAAATCATATAAACTTTCATCTGCGCAAAAAAGAGAAGGCTAACTTTTTGCTAATACTTATAACAATATTCAAACTATGGATAATCAAAATATTTCAGAAGTTTCCATAACTTTTAAAATCTAAGTGATTGCTATTACATCTACTATGAAAATGGAACAAGCTGAAAAATTTTAATTGAATCTTAAGATTACAATTAGTTTCTTCGGAAATGTACATGAGCTATACAAAGCTTTAAAATATAATATTTAGAACAGAAACTAGAAATAACAGAATTTACAAATAATATAGCCGCTGATCTTAATAACCCCATATTTTTGTTGCTCTGCGAAGATATAGTGATGTTTTTCCCATCTTCTGTCTACAATGATAGATGCTGATAAGCCGTTGATCCCCTAAGTTTAAGCTTGCATTTACCTAATTCTTCAGAAATAGTGGTATATTTCGAAAAAATACGAGAGCCGTAATATAAGACCCCCTGAAAAAATTTTTCCGCTTTAACATAGTAGAAGACCCAGAGTCTTTTGTTGTGATGAGGGGGGGGGGGAGGGTGTTATATTTATTTTAATATTGAAATACTTAGGGCATACCATAAATAGTGGCGGAGGTTCATGAAAATCTTTTAAAAGGCTTTCAGAAATTTTCTTTGTTTTTATCTGATAGTAGAGTAAAAGAAGGTCTATCATCCTATGCTATTTGATCACCATTTGTATAATATTATAGTGATACAAATTCCAAAAAACATGTTTTGCTACGAGATTTACCCACAATTTTAGTACAGATCGTTTTAAACATGTGCTTTTGCATTGGTTTTGTTTGTTCTCTTCCTATTTTTTCTTTATTCTTTATTTTTATCTATTTAAATGCATAACCGTTTGTATATACACATATTAATACACAAGTTTCGTTTGTACGACGCAATTATATTCTATTATTCATAGCTTTCAACTGAGTTAAGTGAAATTGCTTAAATACGCTCTCACTATTCACTCTGTTTCAGATAAATAAGGAAAACTTCCACTTTCAAAATAAAGTTCGCACTTTACTCTATATTGAAGCAAGAATTATTTATGAAGAACTAGGCCTTGTTTGTGGGAATGAAGCACCTTCTCTTAGAACGGATCAAAGATGATCTAATTGGTCTTGTGAAAGTGGAGAAGATGTGGAAGATCAAGCACAATCTGGTAGACCCATTACTGAAGCTACAGATAAAAATAGAGAGCATTTTCGTAGTCTCAATAGGGATAATTTTCATATTACAGTAGAAGAGATACAAATGCAAAGTGGTTTAAGTCATGGTATCGTTCAGAAAA